TACGTATCCACCAATAAAATCTAATGGGTGTTGGCGACAATTTGCAGCATACTAAAGTGGTACACCATTTACTCAGTGGCCAAAGTTCAAAATGAAAACGTGTGGGATGAAAACCAGAAAACCAAAAGACGTTCAAGGAACTGGAAAAATAAGGAACATCAAATCCTACTCCCAATACAGAAGGGCAGCGGATCGATTTCTCCCTCATAGAACCCGTAAACGTTATGTCGAGACCAATGACCAACCGCTTGCTCCTCATAATCCAATCCTGGGCTCTAAAATAGCATAGACAAATCGAATGTAGACTCCCCCCTCCCCCCCCCAAAAAAATAAAAGATATAAAAAAAATAAAAAATAAATAAATACTCCTTCGACTCAAGACGCAGCTCGAAATTGAGCCCCCCGAGCTTCAAGTTAGTTTTATGAACAATATTGTCCAAAGTCTGAGTTTTTTTCGGAGCCGTCGCAGCCGTCCTGGTCATGAGATCCTGAGTTAGGATCTGGAGCTGGCTTTCCATAAACTTCATTTTTTCTAAATGACGAAACAATGAAGCACTTCTGCTAACAACAGCTTTACAATACGGCCTCACATCTCAGTTCTCTACAAGGTCTGCAGTCCTCTAAACTGAGCTCACCTACCATGAAATTTCAAAGTATCGGAAGTGACAAAGTGTATGAACTTTGCACGCGCTTCACGGGCATACTGGAAAGCCGTATCCACATCACCATCTGTGGCCCTCGGTATGTGTTTAACTGCCAATGGCCTCCCCATTGTCATTCCGCGGCTGATGCATCGTTTCAAGAAAAAATCGACATAGGCCCTAAGAAACATCAAAACTCATGAGAAACAAGAAGCGAAACTTGAAAATTTGTAAAGATTCTAACTAACTGTAAGTCATTCTTGGTGAACCGGTCGTTTGCTGCAACTAACGCAACCGCTATCCACCTATCACAGCTGGCTGGAAAGAGATAACGAGTATTTTGCTCTATCATCCAAGATCCCTTAACAACCAATAACATCATATATAAAAAAAAAAAAAAAAGGAAAATCAAAAACCACACCGAATCTTTCATGCGTGCTGTAGTGTTGTTCCCATAAATAACAGCAGGTCTTTGCAGCACTCGTGCTTTTAACTGGAAAAGAAAAAGAACAAAACTGGATGGAACCAGCGAATCTTAGCAATTAATCGTGACTTATGTTCCTCGTCACTTACAGAGTTAAATAACCAATAAACAGGCAAATAAGCCCCTAACTGTTTTAAAAGTGAACCATACCTCCATGCTATCGTGCAACTTCATTCCAAATTCCTCGCACCACCGGTTGTCCCTACCAGCCTTATCCAGCTTTAGCGCTCTAACCATGTTCGACATCTGTCTCATTCTTACAGGTGGGAGCGTTGCACAGGCCTTAAATACCAGAAAATAGCCCGGTAAATAAGTGGAGTGTTTAAATTATCTACTAACCCTTATCATCTGTTGTACTTGCTTTGAAGACTGCTGCGGAAGCGTAACACGCTGATTTTCACATACGACGAGTAACTCCATAGGGTACAAATTTCCTCCTTTCGATGTCTTCTCGATGACTAACGGCAGTCTTTCATATTTCAATCTTATCCCATACTTCTCAATGAAATACTGAATGAGACTGATCAATTTACCATCCTTTTGAAGTCTAAACCGAGAGTGTATTGAAGTTGGCAAAAACCATCATGTCTTAACCTGCAATTACAACCTCGACTTATCTGCCGACTCAGGCGATATTCCAGATATGCAGAACACTCGTTTCTTCCCATAAAGACATCGCACGTAAAGACCTGAAAAACTGACCCTTACCGAATTGTTCTAGGGAAAGCAGAAAGGAACAGATGGGAGTACCCTTCAACATTTTCGACAACAGCTTCACATGTCGGTCATCGAGCCGCGCCCCAATCGGACCGCCACAGATTTCTGCCACTTTTTCTGGCAGTAATTGTAAATCTATATGGAAAGCTGCCTTCTTCACTGAAAACGTTTAACACTTAATGTAAAGTAAAACACGCAACCTAATCTAAACAGCATGAATGCACCATGAAGACTCCAAGGTAACTTACTCCAGATGTAAAAACTTTTAAACGTACCATCTATACTAACTGACATTTTTGGACTCGCCTCTGAATCACCCACGATTCTCACTGCCTTTGACGCTCCAACCCCAACATATTTCCCATCCGGCAGCACTGGAGTATCTGTCTTCATAAAACCAAAATCCTCTGGTGCGTAGAGATAACTTTCGCCTGTCCCATATGAAACGAAACGGCCCCTGGAAATGTACCAGCATGACGAATGCTCCAAAAGCAAAAAATTAAATTTAAAAACAGTAAATAAATATAAATACTCAGTAAAAAACGCTTCTTGGGAAAGAAGTAATTCATAAAACTGCTGCACGCTCCTGTTAACTCGGTCGGGATTTAGATTGAAACCTGAACTGAAGTCCATAGACGTCAGCTGAAAGTCTTGGTCACAAGGCTTTACCTAAAAAAACCCTAATCAATTATTAAACTCCGTCAAATCTGGACAAAACTACTCGCTCTGAAGTCTTAAAAACCTTTGAAAAGCACTTACATGGACCAGCACCCTTACGCACTCTTCATCGAAAAGTTCGTTAGGTAATTTATTCCTGTCAATGATAAATGTTTTCACCTACAAAGCGCCCTTCCATAACCTGCACGAGAACACATATCTGCAAAACAAAATGTGGATCCTGAAAGCTTACCTCGCCCTCATCGATCTTCAACTTGTCTAACGCGTACAAGATGGACGCTCGGTCATAAACATAGGAACTCTTATCACCGAAAAAACCTCTTTCTTGCTCCAGAAGTCTCAAGTATACAGCTACGCACTTATTCTTCCGCTCTATTGACACGTAGCTGAAACCAACTGATAAGCTCCAGAAAATACCTTCTGAAACTTCAAGGCAAGGCTGTAACACTTCAACACTAACCCTAAATGATATTCAGAAACCTCGAACGCCTAGAAATAAACCTACAATTCCACGACTGTAGAGTATCGCGCCATAACTAAATCATTAACCAGAACAGCCGCAAACGAAAAGACAAACAAACGTACTCATTCCTGTTTTGTTTCGTTGCTTCTTTAAAAACAGACTGCCCATCCTTTTTATTGTACTCCTCAAGCACTCGTACATCATATCGGAAAATCCGAACATTTTCCGACGGGACAACGGCAAACACATTCGTTTTGACTGTAATTTTTTCTTCACATCTTTCGCCCGGTGCCCCCTTTCCGGCCAACACGATCGGCTTACTTAACTAGAAAATCGAAAATATTTATAATACAAACGCACGAACTTTTTTAGGTAACCAGCTGTTTACTGGGCTCTTGTTCAGTATCTCGGCAACACTTTTTCTGTGCTTGTGGTGACTTCTTTTTTAGTTATACCGGAACTGCTTCTACAAGCAGTGACTGTCAGTGAAAGTACAGAATTACAGGAGGAAACTTTCTTTAAGTCATGACTTACCTTTACATCTCCAAGCTTCTTTTCAATGCGTCTAATATCTGTAAATTCACTGAGCTAAGTGCAAATACTGAGGAATTACAGGAGAAAAAAAAAAGGGAGGAAATAAGCCAGAATTCTGCTTTATTACAACCATTTTCAAAAAGATACCCTGCGGAACCAACGAAAAACACTCACCTCCGCGCTCCATAATAATCCTGAAAAGAACTAAGCGTGAAGCAGCAGGGATCTTGGCATCTACAGTGGCGGAGAAATACCGTAGTTAAACACTCCGTACATCGCGGAACTTATACAAGAAAAACGGTAAAAAACAGTTTCTTCGTACAATTGTGTAAAACAACCAAAAATGTGGAAAAAAAAAAAAAGGAAAACTAAACAAAACCCAGAAGAGTCACAACCATGGCCACAGGATAAACCGCCCTCTCCAGTCAGCCGCTCGCCGAAACACCCACCAACAACAATGAACAACAAGCAGTATCCGCTCAGAAGTGTTGCGCATTCCCCGAATTACGCTTCTGCGTCGTCGGTGAATCAACTCACCAAGATGCCTGAAGCATCTTCGTAAAAAGAAGCCCACACGGTCAGGGCATTCCAATCGTTTTATCGTCCTGCCCCTTACTAAGCCGTCATTGGACAAAGAAACTAGATCAGTCTAGATCAGTAAGTAATAGAAGAAAGATCAAGATAACAAAGATTTTTGTTTTCAGGGTACTGTAGAGGCCCTTTAGGATAACTCGAATTTCAGTAGCTTTTTGTACCCTTGCGGGTGTTCAGATATATGTAGTAATGCACTGGATTAATGGTTTGGGTTGTACAGGGTATTATTCTTAGACTAATTATCAGATTGCTTCTTTTGCTGGAAAAATTACTGCAAACTTTTTGTAAATGAAGATTATAATTCCTAATCTTTTTTCTTCCATCCTGAACTTCCGAATAGTCAAGCGAGATCTAGTCTGGAACAAATTTGAAAATACTTTTTTAATTTTTACGTGATTAAAGCGTGAATATTAGTGTTCTTCCGGCTGCTAAAACTTTGATGCGAACAGCGAAAAGGATTAAATTATGGAAATTACGTCTTAATGCTTTTTATTTGTCGTCTCCACACATTTTGACTATAGGATTTGAGAGGTACGCTGCAACACCTAGCACCTGATTGACTACGAGTCTCTGAAGTCTGAACACTAAAGATGTTAGTGGTTTTTAACTTGTTGTAGGATGAAAAAAAGGTCAAGAAAACGTCAAGCGTGAACGAAGAAGAAAGAGTATGAGGCAATTTTTTTTTTTTTCTGAATTAAGCCAATAAATATTCATTTGAAAAAATACAGGCTATTAAAACGTATGAAACCCTTCGCTGAGGGATACTGCGTGTAGTAACGATTGATATTTTGCAGCAGAGATCACTGTGAT